CCTCAGCTCCTTGTGACAGAAGGACAGGGGACTGTCTCTGTGTCTGTCTCTCTCTCTCTCTCTGTCTGTCTGTCTCTCTCTGTGTCTCTCTCTCTCTCTCTCTCTCTCTCTCTCTCTCTCTCTCTCACTCTTTTCCTCTCTATCTTCAGCTACCCGCCTCTGTCCCCCCTGTCCCTCATTTTTGATCTCTACTATCTCACATATTCTGCCTCAGGCCCGTATGAGCATCTATACTATGAGGCCATTCTGAATAATAGATCCTCAGCTCCTTGTGACAGAAGGACAGGGGACTGCGGGGAAGCTCGCACATACGCAAATACGTGCACGCAAACACACAAACAGAACAAGGGGACATTGCTCGAGGGAAGCAATCTGCTCGTCCCCCGTTTTCTCCCTCTTCTGCAATTTGTGAATTTGTGGTGTTTACAGGTCTTCACCTAAAAATCAATGTTACAGCACCCCCCAGCAGAGAGATCAAAATCTGCATAATGAGGAAGCCTGTGTGCTTTTCACAGGTTTAAGACATCTCAAAGAAAAGGCCTAACCGGAGAGCATTGATCACACTTGCAGACAAACTAAATATTCCTCACCAAAACAGCAAATATACAGCTCAGGTATTATTACAATAAAATACAGTATGGTCTTTCTATTTTTATCAGAAAAAATGGCCTGTTGCATAATCAGCGCTCTTTAGCTAGATCTAGTCATTATCTTTCTTTTAATGTTTAAACCAGAGAGAAGAATGCAATCGATTACATGGGGAGAGATGACTGACGCTGAAAAAAAAATCTGGGGATGATGGATGAGGAGGCTTAAATTTAATCATACTGTTTAGATCAAAAGTCCACTTTGTAAACAGTGACTGTACTAAGTGCTGTACCTGGATGCTGCAATAACACACGCCTTATGCTGAGCACTGCTGTCCTTGTCAATGCGACAGTTGTAGTGAGAGGGCAGAGGAAGAACATACTGCTCCACATCTCCCTCTGCTGTTGGCAGTCGATGTCGGTATTACTGTACACCTTAATGTCCCCTGCTACACACACACACACACACACACACACACACACNACACACACACACACACACACACACACACACACACACAGTACATGTCCACTTCTGCTGCCCTGTCTGGCTCTCTGTGGTGTCGTTATTGTTGAGGCTGTTTCAGTCATTGAACCCTAACACACTCACAAACACACATGTACACACACAATGACCATGACATGGGGATGGGGCTTTTTCTGGAAGCTGACTCACTTCTTTCAAACACTACCGTAAATGGATGAAAAGAGGAGGGGAGGGAGGGAAGAAAAATGAAGGAGGAAACGAGCGGACTGATGGGAAAACATTTTGAGTGAAGTCAGCCAACAACCCAGCCTTGATGACATAATTTCTTTGTCGATACACCATTGTTTCTAAACGTCTGTGTTATGTGTGTGTGCAGTTGTGCAAATGCTGTATTCACATAGACTTCGTGCATATTAATAACTGTTTGTGTATGTGTGTGAGTGTGAAAAAAGACTATTTGTAGGTTTTATCATAGAAGGGTGTAGTCTTGGCCTAAAACAGCCCCTGACCAACAAAGAGTGTAAGTTTCTAAAAGTGTGAGCATCTGTGAAGAACTTTGACCAGAGGAGTGTATGCATGTCTGAGTATTTGAGAGTTTGTGTGTGTGTGTGTGTGTGTGTTTGATTTGGAATCTGAACCCCTTCACCTCCCCCTGCAGCTGTTTAAACGTGATCCAAAGAACACTTGTCACACACATGTGTATCCACCCCCCACGCACAAGTCTCTCAGCCTGTCTCTCTTTCTTCGTCTCACCAACTACCACCTTTATACCTTTTCAAATTCTCTCTCCTCTCCTCCACTTCCATCAGCCCTTCTCTCTCTCTTTCCTCCCTGACTGTTTGGCAGTGCGACCCACAGCTTGGCAGCACTACCACAGCTCCCCATAGAAAGGCTGTTCATTTGGACTCCATACTCCATTAAAGTATCTTTATTTTGCTTCATCGGTAACCTCTAATGATAAAAACTGTCAAATTAAAAAATGTGCTTGGTTTCTGTCCTTCCTTTGACTTTCTACTGCCTCCTTCTTTCCTCTCATTATTTGTCTCACTCCTTCCCTTCTCTCTCTTTTTCTTTCATTCCCAGTTTAGTTTAATTCATAAGAACCTGTCTTAGACGAGAGTTTATTTTTTTAGTAACTCAGGCTGAGAAGACCTCTAGTCGGGTTAAAGCATTTCTTGGAATTAACATGATGTCACTCTATTGACCAACAAGAACAATAACAGGATACGTTTTCCATCCCCGACGGGAGCACCAAAAAATAGGGGAGGAATGGAGATTAGTGAGTAGGAGGTCTATGTCTGAGTTTTAACTTTGACTTTGGTTACGGTTCATATTTTTGGGAAGTACCTTACAACAGATGATCACAGTCCTGAGGAGGATCTTGAAGAAGGCCCGAGGGCCATAACATCTGTCTTGATGAATGAAAAATACACATGGAGCCAGAATGTGTGACGTTTCTCAGTTTCCTGAGGGCAGATACAACATGCTTGTCTTATCAACTATTGTGACATTCACATTTCAAGTGTTTTTCTATTGCTGATGTTGTGTAATGGTTTGGTAATTTGCTAAAACAGTTGAAAATGTTTTATGTTTTCATTGGAACGCACAGGTCTGCATTGGAATATTACATTTCCTGCTTTGTCTCACTTAACATACATTTCTGATTGTGTAAACATTAATTTAAATAGAATGTAAGTAATACTGTTTGTGGTAGTGCAAATATTACTCATGTTAAGACTGTGTAAACTATAGTGTAACTTTATAACTTGAAGAGGAAGGACACCTGAAGTGACCATTCAAAGGCCTATTTAGTATATTTCTAATGTAGTCACTCCCTCTTTCTCAATCTTTCTGTCTTTGTATCTGTCTTGGTGTATCTTCCTCTATCTTGTGCTCTCTACTTCAATTATGAAGGATTATGGAATTATGTTGAATTAATCCTTCCTTTTGTGGTAACACCTAGTCCCTCTCTCTTTCTGTCCTCCAGGCCTTGGATGGCAGAATCTACGAGCATGTGAAAGACTACCTGGTGTCGCTGTGTCATACTGAATTAGAGGCCTCCCAAGCAACACACAACACCTTCCAGTTCCTTTTGGACAAATCCACCAGAGTGAGTCAGCTTTGGTGGGGAATATCAACCCATCTTTTTGACATAATAATATGATTAAAATTATCGTTTTTTGCAGAAGTAGTGTGCAAGTATTCAGTGAAACAAATTTGACATTTGGAGCTCATTTGTAATTACTTCGTAGTGGAATGGGAATGAATTAGATTGGCCTTTGGAGGCATTGTTTGCATTTAACAGTTTAACAAAAAAGCTAACAAGAAAGAAGAGATGAATAAAAATGCAACCCTGTGTAAGAAGCATGCATGTGAATTTATTTTAAAGATCTAAGCATATGGTTTAAATCACATGTTGCAAGTGCAAATTTAGGACCAAATCAATGGCCGGTAAAAAGTTTATTGTGTCAGGCGCAAGGTGGAAGGTTAATTGATTATGGTGTGTTTAGGCTGTAACAGGCAATAAACCAGTCAGAGTACCATCTCCCCTTCCCTTTGAAAGCAAGCTGATCTTGTACCTTAGTAGGTTGCTTCTGTAAGGGCCCGATCACACATACACAGATGTGTCAGTGGCAAACTTTCACCTCCCGTTCACGATAAAAGGCAAATATTGCATTTGCTACATGCGTTGAGGCAAATCGCAGAGCAGCTTCGTGTGAAGTTCAACTTTGTCAGCTTTGACCAGTTAACATGATTGACTTCACATTTGTGTATCTGTGACTGGGCTCCAATGGTGGATTTGTCGGCTCGTAAGAGAGAACACTTCTCTACAGTGGAAATGGTTTTAATTCATGCAAGCAGACCTAGCAGAGTGGGTAACAAGCAGAGTGCACAAGTGCTGTGCACCTTGTTAAAGCATATAGGCACACGGTGTCAGTGGAGTCTGAAGCCTGCATGAACTTGATTGTGCTCTGCTCACAATATCTGTGGCCTAACATGCATGCCATTTAAGTGATGCTCAAAACATCAAACCTAAAATGTATGCATGAATATGAAATACTCACCCACTGTTGACTTCTGCACTGGGGAGCAGAGCCTGTGATCAGTGACTCCCTGAGGTTACAATGTCTCCCAGTACTGACAAGTCTCCACAGCAGGAAACTGGCCTGAAAAAGTCAGTTTAACTTTCTGTCTATCTTACAGATAATACAAGAGTTCAACCAGCAGCTGTTCATGCAGGAGAATCCAGTGTTTCACAAAGCACATGACTTCCAGTTCCAGCCCAGTGAATGTGACATGGTGAGACACACATAGTTTCATATAATTTGTATTGTTTGTACATGAACCTGTTCACACAGCAGGATAGTCAATTCATTGCATGGATACACAGTCGTATCTTCGTGATTTCAGAGGACTTTGCATTGACTCACATTCACACACACACACGCACGCACACACACACACTGACACACACACACACACACACACACACACACACACACACTTTGCTAGTTGTGGGTTTTTCCCTCCTACCTTTTCTGTCCCCTACAATCTGTTATTTTACATCTGTGTCTGCTCATCTCAATTTAGTTGAATCACTGAAACATAATCTGTGTTACATTGATTTTCACGATTGTTAGAGAATCTCATTAATACATCAGGGCTGTGAGGAACGGCTCTGGTCTGAAAATATAGAGAGGAAATATGTTGAGAATATTTTGTCTTGAGCCTTAAGAGATTTATTCATGTTAATAATTCAGGATTGAGCCATCTAGTTAACCAGTGTCTGGCATGATAGAAGTATGAATCTTCTCTTTTTTCTAATTTTAATCACTGAAATAATACATCTCTGTCCATTGGGAATTTCTCTTTGTCGTCATATTTTAAATTAATATAAAAATTATATCAAATCAAGTGGTTGCTGAATGATAAACATTTTTTACATTGTTGTCAATTGATCAGCATCTATGATCATAATGGAGCCGCGGGAGCCATGCTGTCTCACCCCTCCAGGGCCTTGTTAAGTACTGCTGGCTAAAAAAGAGACGTCTCCCAGTGGACACTGGTCCTAATTCCTCTATCCTTCTCTCCTGTGTCTGAGTCATGTTGTGTTCTCTCGTTTCTCAGCTTCTTTCAATCTTTCACCTTTTCACTCACTCCCTCGCCAATTTCTCTTTTCCACTCTGATCTTTTTAACAATGTGTTCTTCCTTCCGTGTGCCTTCGTAATCCTGTTCAACCTTTGCTAACACTTTCCTCCTACACTTTCTTTTCCCTATTAACCCCCCTTGTTGTGTCTACGTGTCTGTGTGAATGCGCTGCTGCTCTTGGGTGGATGTGTGTGTGCTGGGAATGCTTGTCTGCGTGTATGTGTGTGTGCCAGACTCTGAGCTCGGTGCAGCAGTTGGTGGACATTGAGCCTTCGCCCGTCAGTGCCATGAGAATGACCCTGGCACAGGTAGTCTTAATTGTTAAATTCCCATTTTCATTCCTGACACAAACCATGAATCATCACTCCCATTCATGTTGTAATATATTTCTTTATTTAGTGATATTGACCTGAACTGAGGCACTGGTTATATGTGACCCACTGTGTCCATATGAGCAGAGTGTTTGCTCTCTTCCTAACCAGACTGCTTAAGTGCTAAGTTGTATTCTTTCCCTGATTGACTGCAGCCAGTCAGACAGACAGAAAGTCCACTTGCATAATCTTCACATCCCTGCTGTCTGTTCCTAAACAGCCATGACAGCACATCTACTCAGTTCAAAAGAAAGGTCCTTTTACATATGATGAAAGACATTTACATACATTGCAAGATTATTTTATCTGGCAAAAATGTAATCTGTCAATACCAGACTGGTGTGTATCAGAGGGACCACAATACTGCGGCTCCTTAAGATCTTATAAACCCTTAATATCCTTGTTGCTTCAATGAAACAAGAGAGCTGCATTTGCTGGATGGCTGAATACTGTTGTTATGACAGTGGGATCACAGTGCTGTGATGCCGTCACACTGCCATGTGTTGGTGACCAGTGGCGTCCCAGCACCAGATGATTCATCACATGCTGTAACCTTGTTGCATCATCTGTTGAAATGTCACTATGTGATCATCGCCCTCCTGTAAATAGATGAGTCAAATGTTTGGTGTGTGTGATTTTTTGTTTGCACATTTGCAGTGTGCTATGGGTTCAAGATATGGTCACTGTACATGTTTTTCTTTTTATTGTTATATGTGCATATTTTTGTTGTTTGTATTCAATCCAAACCATCACACTAAAATCCAGACAAAGAGTATGTGACCAAATAACAGAGGATATTCTATTATAGTATATTATAAATATTAGCTTTTCTGCAACCTCATGTTAAATAATACTGAAAATAAGGCTAAATTGGATTTTGGATTCTATTCTGGTTCAATTGCAGCTTTTTGCAAATTATTGTATGATGAGAAAACCTTACATTATTTCTTGGCAATTAATCCACACAGAATGTCTAATCATAGCAATGTCTTAGCCACAGTCAGCGCATACTACTTTCTGCTCTTTCTGTTGTGCAGACACCCTGGAGTCTCAGGCTCCCACTGCTTTTAAAAATTCATTAAAACAGCTTACACAGAAATACTGCCAGAGGTGCTGTGCAATGTGATGTATTGCATTAGTCAGGGCAGTGGTTTGTCTCTCTCTGAGCTGTGGAGAGAGGTCTTTTTTTAGACTGTGACTTGTGGGAAGTGATGCTCACCTGCTTCAGAACAGTACATTCATAGCTTCTCACCGAGCCCAGAACAGAGAAAAGTAATGTGATAGTAAAGACCTACTGTACAACAAGTGTTCAGAATGTGACACAAGGCCCCAGGTTTTAGTCTTTAATACTCCCACTTTTCAACCAGTGTACTGTACGTCGCGCCTCCTATTCATACACACATTTGTTCTTACAGCTTTATGCCAGAGGATTTGAAATAACACAGTTGTATTGTCCAGTGATCTTAATTACTGTTATGACAGTGAAGGTTGTTATTGAAGTACAGGATGATCTCATTGTTTTATATTCACTGTGCTTTACTACACATAGTTGCATTTTTGCCTGTACATTAACACACCTAATATAATATAATCCTGGATTATCCACATTACATTATGATAATGGAAAATCTTTTGAAACATGTGTCACTTATTGTCCTAGTTAGCTTATAGCTTAATGAGTCTGTGTTTCACAATACCACAAAAAACATTTGAATGGTATAAAAATGTGTTAGAATTAAATTGACAAACTAGTTTAGCTTATTTCACACAACATAAATGCAAAAAACATAAATGAAATGTAACAATACTTGTGGGATGTGGTAGAAAGCATAACAAAAAGATAAAATATCAAGCATCATCATGCTTTAAAATCTGCCATATGAGCAACCGAAACAAACAACCTCACAGAGAATCAATTAAAGGAGGTAATTCATGCATGATATTTTCCCTACGGTACATAAAAACAGGTAGGACGTGTGAAAGAAGCTCCAATTCTGCCTTTGATCTCTATCAATATTCTAACAATCATTTTAACAAAATATCAGCAAAAAATTTGCTGTCTCCACAATGTCAGTTTACAGCCACTGTTTAATTCCGGTGTTTTGTCTCTGCTTTAACTCCCTGACATGCTCCCTCACATGAACGTAATTAAGCCGTAAATCTCCAGTGTGAAGCTCTGGGTTTCACACCTATACTTAGCCAGATTTATGCCCTCTTGTTACTGAAGCAGCACATAATTAATAGATATGATGTGCATGGAAACTTGCGATTAAAATATTGTGTAGTTGAGTCTGAAGCTAAAGGACTTTTATTATCAGATTAAGGTGAACCTCAGGCTCTCAGGTCTGTGAACACACATCAGTGGCACTGATGTACGTCTTGAGGCTCAGGATGTGGAATCTATTTTTCTGTCTACAGCCTAAATAGATGTCATATTTTCTCACACTTTTTGGCTAATTTCTGAAATGTTATAACATACAGATATATGCTATAGAACCAACACAATATAAATGTTAGGCGTAATTCTCCTTTATACAAAACGGAAATGGAAGTTTAGCATTTGCATTGATTTTGGTTTGAT